ATTTGCTGGCTCTCTGAAGCAGGGCCCACTGCTGATCCCATTTCACAGATGAAGGCCATTGAGGCATGATGCTGAAGTCGCTTGGATGGGACTGAGCCTTGAGCCTGCCACCCTCTCTTGCTGGCTGGTTCCCAGCCCCTGAGCAGCTAGCTGCTGGTTTACCATGCCCGGCTTGTGTGTTCTTGGCTGCTGCTTCCTGTGTGACCAGCTGAGTCTGAGCCAGGACGCAGGGCGCAGACCAAGGCCTGGTACCCACAGATGTCCACAGAGATGGACTTCCCAAGAACCCACCTGCTCCCTTCCTGTCCTCTTAGGAAGTACATCGTGTCCTGTAAGCAGACAGAGGTACCCCTCTCTGTCCCCTGGGACCCAAGCAACCAGGTAAGACCCTTTTCTAGCAGGGTCCTGGCCTCCTTTGGTTGCCCTGGTGGGTAGGGAGGATAGCCCAAGGGGAGCTGGCTACCTCTTCCATACGTCTCTGGCTCTTAAAGTCTGCAGGGAACATCCTGTGTTCCCCTGTTGGACAGGAGGGTGCTGAGACCCTGGGCAGGTGGTGGGTCACGTGGCAGGACTGGCTGAGCCTGGGTGTGCCTCCCTCCCTGATGCATTCGCAGGGCCTTTGTCATAGCACTTACCCACTTTACCATGTCAGTTCCTCTCCCAGTTGCCAGCTTGGCCCTGGGGCAGAGAAGACCAGTGTCTGTGTGCTCTCCACAGGTATACCTGAGCTATAACAATGTCTCCTCCCTGAAGATGCTTGTGGCCAAGGACAATTGGGTGTTGTCCTCAGAGAACAGCCAGGTAGCCCCCTCCCCTCCCCCATCAACTCTCCTTTCTCTGGCAAGGCCCGGGGCCATCAAGCACCTCTGTGAAAGAGGCCTTTCTGACAAGGAGTTGGTGATCACACAACCCACCCAGCTACAGAAACATGCCTGCTCCCAGGGCCTGGGGAAAATAAACCTGGTCCTTCTCTCCTGCCAGCCCCCTTCCTGTCCACCACGCCTTCCCTCTCCCATAAGCCTACTTGGACAAGTCATTCCCAGCCTGCAACATTAGGGTTCCAGGGTGTGGTGACCTCAGTTCCTGCTTTTCAGAGTTTCCTGTCCCTTTGGGCTAAATGCCCTCAACAGCCCATCTGCTTGGGGATGTAGCTGAGGCTCAACGAGGTGGCACCCTTGGTGATGGCCACACCACCAGCTAGTGGCAGCCATGGGCTTCCAGCACCAGCCTCCCTGTGGTGTGGTCTAGAGGGACATGGGATGAGACTCACTCTGCCCCTGCAGGTCCGCCTCTATACCCTGGAGGATGACAAATTCCTCTCCTTCCACATGGAGATGATGGTGCAGGTGGATGCAGCCCAGGCCTTCCTGCTGCTCTCAGACCTGCGCAGGAGGCCTGAGTGGGACAGGCACTACCGGTGAGGAACCCCTTCTCCTGCCAAGCTGCCTCCTGCCCCAACACATTCTGTACTAGCTAGGCTTTAAAGGGGTTGTGGCTCAGGAGGGCTGGCCTGTTGGTTATGTGATAGGTGGAGGTCAGGGCCATGGGCATCTTGGGCCCTTAGGAAGGGATTGAGCCTGGAATTGGAGCAGGAGCCTGTGTTTAAATCCTTCCTTCGTGGTCTTCAGTTTTCCCTCCTCTTCCAGTGGGAACGTGGGAGCTAGGACATGGATGAGCACTCAGGAATAGATGAGTGACTTCCCAACTACGCTCTATGGAGTTTTACACTCTCCAGGGCACTCAGCAAGTGATTGGGGTGGGGCCGGAAGGCTGAGGGCCCTAGTGAGCTCCTTCCAGGGTCAGGCCAACTGATAGAATGGCCAATTTGTCCAGTTAGCCAAGTTGGCTGATTCCTTTTATGAATATGCACTTGAATAGAGCAAGTGACTATGAAAAGAAATATGTTATCCCTTTGAATATGTGCATTCCCCAAATTCTTCATACAAATATCTTCTCCTTGAATTTATTATACATATTATATATTTTAAAATATTTCTTTGAAAGGCAGAGTGGCAGAGAAAGTGTCTGGGTCATCTGCTGCTGCTTTCTCAGATGCATTAGCAGGGAGCTGGGCTGGAAGTGGAGCAACCCGGTCTTGAACCAGTGCCCATATGGGTTGCTGGCATCACAGACCATGGCTGAATCCATTATGTCATAATGCTAGCCCCATGGCTTCCTTTCTGATCAGTCATCTTTAGCTTCCTGTCTGTATCTCACTCCGTCAGAGCAAGTCGACTCAGCAGTTTATACACATACTTACCTCTTAAAGTTTTTTTTTTTTTTTTTTTTTTGCAAAAAGTGCTGATTTGCTTTAGAAAGGGCTATTCTAAGGGCTGAGTGTTGGTTCAAATTCTGACACTTCTTGCCTGAGATCCAGCTCCCTGCTGATGCACCTGGGAAAATAACAGAAGATGCCCCCTGTGCCATCTGTGGGATGTCCGAGGGAGTTCCTGGCTCCTGGCTTCAACCTGGTCCAGCCCCAGCCATTTTGGTCATTTGAGTGAACCAGCAAATGAAGATCTCTGTTTATCCCCCACCCCTCTCAAAAATCTGCCTTTCAAATAAATAGATCTTTTAAAAACTCCAGAAAATAACAACAAAACAATTAAAAACATAAAGGCCTGGCCTAGGTAACTCTAAGCCTGCTGATGGTGCATTCTAGAAGCCAGGGAGATGTCTTGGGAGTGGGTATTGGGTAGGGAGAGAGGTTGTGTATGTGGCAGGGAGGCTTTTGGAGGAAATAGGCTGTTGTGGGCCTTGAAGGCCATCTGAAATCTTGATAGTTGATAGTGTTCTGCAGGTAATGGCTTCAGGGAAAAGAGAACCCCTAGCCTGCTTCTTCCCTCCCATAGCTGCACTGCTCCTGGGGCAGCCTCCTAGAGCAGGGCAACATGGGACTAAAGTGATGGGGCTGTGAGTCTGCACAGGAAGGTCTTGTGTGTTGACATACGTCTATGTGTGTTCACCTAGGCATAGTGTGTGGGTCCTGGGAGCTTAACTTTGCCACCCAACAACCTGGGCACATCCCAGCCTGCCACCTGAGTAACTCTGTGACCAAGGGCAGTGTATTGCTGGAGTTGTGGCCCCCTCCTCTGCAACGTGGGGGCATGAGGAGTACCTGCCACATGTGGTCTCATGGAGCTGCAGTGAAATGATGCTGGAAAGGCACTTAGAATGGCGTCTGGCACGTGGAGGCTGCTCTCCGAACATCAAGGACAGCTACTAAACAGTCCTGCATCTTTGTGGGCATGTGCACCTGCAGACAGGTAGACATGCTCAGGTCTGTGTGGCACTCTAGATGTGCCAGTGTGCACCTATGTATGTTTGTAGATCCCTGCTAGCACATGTGTGTCTCTGTGTCTGTGTGTACACACATGCTTGTGCTTGTCCTGGCGTGGCCATCACCTCCAGTCTAGGTCAGTGCCTGGAAGAGCAGTGGCTGGGGAGGCTGCAGTGCACCAGGCTGTGTAGACCTGACTGGGGTCCTGAGCTCCGGCCTCTCTGCAGGAGTGTGGAGGTTGTGCAGCAGGTAGATGACGACGATACCATCTGTCATGTAATCAGTCCCCCGCTCGGTGGAGACCCCAAGCCCCAGGACTTTGTGATCTTGGCCTCACACCGCAAACCATGTGACAACGGGTGAGTGTCTGCTTGCAAGGGAGACAAGGTGCAGTGTGTGTGGGTATGGGGTGGGGTGGGAGTATGGCAGGAAGGCCTCATCTCCCTTCCCCTCCCAAGTAAGGACACCTGCTTGGATCAGAGCTTTGCTTCAGATGGCTGTGGAACACCCTCACCCACCACCAGGCCCTGCTGGTCTTTCCTGGGCTGCTGTGGTCTCACCAAGGCATGTACTTCCTTGGAGCCGCTGTGCCCTAAAGCAGGCTCTGCCTTGAGGCAGTCACAGACAGGACACCTCTTCCATGTGGGGACATCTTGGCTGCTATTCTCTGAAAACCACATGTCCCTTCAGGGCAGTGGGCCTGACAGCTATGCCAGGATATACTGCATCACTCCCGCTGGAGACAGGGAAAACAACAGACTTGAAAGCACAGGACACCTGCCCTGAGTGGCCACCTGGGCTCCTCTGGGGCCTTGGCCTTCGCTGGACACAGCAGGTTGTCACCTTCTCCCATGCTCCAGGGACCCCTACATCATTGCCTTGAGGTCGGTCACTCTGCCCACACATCCCGAGACCCCGGAGTACCGGCGTGGGGAGACCCTGTGCTCTGGCTTCTGCCTCTGGCGTGAGGGGGACCAGTTGACCAAGGTGAGACCTGAGGGTCCCTTCTCCTCTGCCCTGGCCCCCACCACACCGTGTGTGTGTGTGTTTGTGTGTGTGTGTGTGTGTGTGTGTGTGTAGTGCTCAGCACTCTAGCCCAACACGGCCAACCCCAGGCACGAGTCTTAATCTTTGACGTTCCCAGCTCCTCATTTTAAACAGGATTTAGTGTTGGGCTTTGGCATTTCAGTCACTGCCTTCAAGGGCCCTGCAGCTGGTGGGGAGGATGCCCAGGACAGTGCCATGTGCAGGGAGCCCTGCTGGAGGAGGGCATCCCTGGTGGGCATCCAGATGCCTAGGTGATCTCCAAGCTTCCATCGAGGGGGGACTGTGCTTATTATTCTCCCAGGGTGGTAGGGTCTGCTTTGGCCTCTGTCCTAGGCCACAGGTTCCCCAACCCTGGCTCAGCCTGCAGGTGGCTCTCTTCCTACAGGTGTCTTACTACAACCAGGCCACCCCTGGTGTTCTCAACTATGTGACCACCAACGTGACGGGCCTCTCATCTGAGTTGTTCGCCACCTTCAAGGCCTGTGAACAGTTCCTCATCAACAACCGCAGCGACCTGGCCCCCAGCCTCCAGACTCTCTAAGGCCCTGCCATGTTCCCAGGGACTCAAACACAGTGTGTGGAGGGAGGCAGAGGCTTTTATTCCTTCCTGTCTCCCCCCGGGGTGACAGCCTTGACCTAGGGGGTCCACTAGTCCAGTACTCTGGCCAGTCAATCAATGTCTGCCCACATCCTAGGCCAGCAAGTCCTTGCGATACTCCTGGGGCAGTCTGTAGTAGACACGGGTCCTGTCGACATTTCTGGCTGCCAGCAGCCCCGCATGCACTGCTGCATCCTCGCCGTCTGCGGGGCTGTGGTACACTGTGACTGTAGCCCTTGGAGAAGCTGCCAGCAGCCTGGCTACAACTCCAGCTGCACTCTGGCCCAGGGGCCTGGCCTGTAGTTGGAATGACACCGGCTGCCAGAGCCCCTGGTATAGCTCCAGCATGTCTGTGAGCAGTTGCTCCCCATAGCCACTGCCCAGCACTTCCTCTGGCCAGCTCGGGGCCACAGTCACGTGGGGAAAGACCTCAGCCACAGCTGTGAGCAGCTCTTGGCCGGCCATGTAGCCGGGGACTGTAAAGCTACCATGGGAGATGATGGCCCCAACCCACACAGGCCAAGGCAGGTGGTTCAGGCTGGAGAGGCGTGCCAGGATGGCCAGGGATGGCCGGAGGGCTCTGGGCTCTGCGATGTGCACATGGATGCCCCAGCGTCCGGGGAGCATGGCCAGCTGCATCAGGCACGACTCAAGCAGGATGGCAGCATTGCCTGCAGCATGTACGGTGGGCATGGGATCTTCAGCTGTAGTTTCCTCAAGGCTGACGTTCAATAGGATCATGCCTTCTCCATCTGCAAGAACCAACATGCCTTGAGTTCAGGCTACTGTGGGGACCACAGCTGGGGAACTCTGGGCAGCAGTGGGTGCAGGGGGAGCCAGGGACAAGGAGTTAGTGTCCACCCCCCATGCTCTGAGCTATGCTGGTCTGGGTGGTTCTGGGTGCCTGGTGATGTGCCTGTTTCTCATCAGACTGACATGATAAATGGCTATCTCTGTGCTCAGCTCTGTGTGATGTGACTGGAGACCCTCTAAGTGTGCTGGGACCCCATGCTCTTGACACTGCATGCCTTCCTTCTGTACCCCAGGTACACAGTGCCCATTGTACAACTTAAATGGACTCCCCTGCTGCCATGGCAACAGAACCCCAACTTCCAGAGAAGAGGGTTATCCCCACAGTGTCAGGTGCCACACAGCTGGCTTCAGGCCTTACCTGGGAGGGTGACTTTTGCCAATCTTCCATGGCCCTGGACTTCCGGAAGGAGCCATTCTACACCCAGTCCATCACCCCCGGGTGCCTGGAGTATGGGGATCAGGCTGCCCCCTGAGTAGTATGTTCGCTTCCGTGTGGCATTCACTGTGGGCCCAAAAATGCCAAGATGAAGTGGCTGCCATTCATAGAGTGCCTTCTGTATGCCACGGCACTAACCTGTGTTCACCAAGGTTTGCTGTGACCCAGAGGGGAAATGAGCTACAAGGGACTGGATGTGGAGTTTGGAATCGGCCAGATGCTGTCTGCTGGGACCATTATGTATATCTCCCCTGTCCCCAGCCTTACATTCCCTAAGAAAGGGGACCCGTGCTTCTTGTCCTGGGAAAGCATAGATAGCAGACTGCGGGGATCTGGCACTCAGCACTGCTCAGAGGAACTCTATTCCTTGTCCCATCCACACTCCTGCCTGGCGCCCACCTAGCCTGTCCTGTGCAGAGGGCTGCTGCCCCACACCACCCTTTCCCAAGTCCACTCCCTACAGGCCTGCTGCTTGAACTGTGACCAGACGGGCTCGAAGAGGTCATAGTAGATTTGGTGAATGGCACAGTTGTCCCGCATGTAGAGGAGGTCGTCCACCGTCACGGGGTCTATTGTTCCCTGCCACAGCGTCAGGCTGTACCTGGTCCCAGAGAGCGAGATGGCCGCTTAGCACCTGCCTGACCCAGCCACGCCCTCCAGCATGACTGCAGGGGGTGGGGAGGGTAGCTGCTATGACTCCACCTTTGGAGCAGGAGGAGTGAAGAAAGAAGTTGTGAAGGGAATAGCATGAGGAATCCTTGTATATGGGGTGGGGCTGAGGGAGGTAGGGCTGCGAGGCTGGGAGCTGACTGGGGTGTTTAGAGGACCTCTCCATCTCTATAGGGCAATCATGCAGCAGCTCCAGGGGCACAGCTGGCTCCCATGGGAGGCAGCTTCAGGGAACCAAGCTGTATCCCAGAACCCATGATTTCCAACAGGCACCAAATGACCCACCCACAGAATGATGGTAGTGAGCAGCCAGAGGCATGCAAGCAGAAAGGACAAGTGCACTAGTGCCTGGGGTGGGGTAGGATCTGCACCCTGGGAGTTTTTACCTGTCTGACTGGGCCAGCAGCCAGCTGAAGTGAGGCCAGGCAGCCCTCCCCATGACTGCCCGCACGGGGAAGGTGATTTTCTGCTGCAGTGTGCCCACCAGCCTGTGCATCTGCTCTATCATGGCCTGGGTGTACGTGCTGTTCGGGAGCTGGGGCACGTAGAGTGTGGTCCAGCCTGGAGACAGGGTGGCCTGAGGGTACTTCTCCTGGACCAAGGCCAGGAACCTGCAGAGAGATGGGGATGCTGGAGTTTTATGGTAGTGCCAGCATGCAGGAAGTGCCAGGGAGAGGAGGGGCCTATTGGGTCTATGAAATGAGTGCAGAAACAAAGTCCTAAAGAGCAGAGGTGGCTTTTTCAAGCCTCCCCGCCCCACCCCCTCCAAATTAGATGAGCTTTGGAGCAAGAGGGGCCTGGCATCCACATCCCATATTGGCACCAGTTTGAGTCTGAGCTGCTCCACCCTGATACAGCTAATATGTCTGGGAAAACGAAGGAGGATGGTCCAAATGCTTGGGCCCCTGTACACAAGTATGAACTGGAAGAAGCTCCTGGCTCCTAGCGTCAGACTAGCCCAGCTCCCTCTGTTGTGGTCATTTGCGGAGTGAACCAGCAGATGAAAGATCTCTCTATCTTTCCCTCTCTCTTTCTAGAATTCTGTCTTCCATTTCACCTGAGACACACACTCAGCATTCACCATATTTACCATATTAGCCTGTCAGGCTAATCCTCTACCTTCAAGCGCCAGCATCCTATAGGGATGTTGGTTCTTGCCCCGGTTGCTCTACTTTCTCTCCAGCTCCTTGCTTATGACTTGGGAAAGCAGTGGAGAATGGCCCAAAGCCCAAAGCCTTGGACCCCTGTATCCACATGGGAGACCCAGAAGAAGCTCCTGGCTCCTGGCCCCTGGCTCAGCTTGACCCTTGTGACCATTTGGGGGAATGAACTAGTAGTTCAAGAAAGGCGTAGGGGACCAGAGACCCCGAGTAAGTGCCTTGGTGGACAGGGCTGTTGGGGAGGTTCCAGTGATGACTCGGAGGGTGGGGGGTATGATTAGATGGGTTCATTAGGAAAGGAAGGAAAAGCATCTAAAGCTGAGGGAAGGTGATGCTGCATGGTGGACTGAAAGGCCCTACGGTCCCTTCCTGTGTTTGATGAGAAGTGGGCTGGGTACATTGGGGACACTCACTGGGTAGCATTGATTTCGATGGGCAGTGGTACATTGGGGCCCCTTTGGATGTCTGCATTGATCCACACAGGCCTACGGACTTTGCCCTCTTCTGTCAGCTTCCGCAGGAGGTCCAGGGATGGGCCCACGGCCTTGATGCTCTTAAAGTCCAACTTGATGCCTTTGGGAACTGGCAAAGAAACCAGGGAAATGTAATTGCCCAGGCATGGGGCACAGGGAGGAAGGGGTGTGTGTGGTAGAGACTAGGGTGGGGGGAGGAGGTATGAGGACTGGTAGAACTGACCAGAGAAGGGCCTGGTCCCTGGAACCCTCTCCCTCCTTCCCCTGAAGGACCTCAGCCAAGGGCTTGAACCTGGGGGTGCTGGTATGTCAGAGGCAGAAGCAGACTGCTCTGTTTTGAGGCCAGTAGGGAGCCACAGAGGGTTCAAGCAGGAGAGTGGTTGGACCACCCAAGCCTAGTGGAAAGAAACCTGGCCAAGATAAAGATTTGATGTGTTGGCATGGCATGAGAGTGGCTCAGGGGTTAGGATTGGCAGGTGCCATGGCTGAGGATGATGAGGGGGAGGGACACATGTGGACTATGCCTGGGATCTGGACCAGTCAGCAAATGGACGGGCAGGTGGGGGTGGAGTTTGACTTCGAGGCTTTTCTAAACCAGGAGGGCACCCCAAGCACGTGTAGCACCTTGCACACGGCTCTGCGCTTCCACATCCTCATCTCACCAAGTGCGGTGTCTGGGAGGGAACACCTGGCCCTGCACGCTCATCCTCCTGTGGCCTTGGCGGAGCCTGGCTGGCTGGAGGGTGGAAGGGGAAAGCTAAAGCCATGAGTAAGCAAAGCTGCTGAGTGGATTATCACATGGAGAGGATCCCTGCCTGAGGGCCAGAGGCTGGGGAGTTAGGGAAGGGATGGGAGGGGGTCGAGGAGAGTCTCACCCCGCTGGGAGAAGGCCAGCACAGTCTCCAGCCAGTGCTGCAGGGTGTTGTCGCTGTAGATGTCTGGGGGGTGGGCCATGATGGGGACCCCTGTCTCGTTGACTGTACTGAGTCCTTCCACGTTGACATCAGCCTCCAAGACCATGATGTCGCCTGGCGAAGAAGCAGAACTCGCTCAGTCTCTCCCCTTTCGAAATTGTTTTTCTTGTCATGAAAGTTCACACGTAACAAAACATTTGAAAACCACAGAAAAGCAGTAAGAAGGTAATACCTTTCTTATTTTTTTTTTAAAGCTCTATTTGAAAGGCAGTCTGTCTCACACCAGAGAACTTCCATCTGCTAGTTCACTTTCCAGATGACAGCAATGACCAGAGCTAGGCTGGCCTAAAGCCAGGAGCCTATGGGGCTCCCTGTGTGGGTGCAGGGGCTTAAACACTTGGGCGATCTTTCACTACCTTCACAGGCACATTAGTAGTGAGCTGGATGGGAAGTGGAACAGCCAAAACTCAAAGTGGTGTCCAAATGGGATGCTGCTGGCAGAGGTTTAGCTTGCTATGCCACAGTGCTAGCCCCAAGCTTTTTTTTTAAATCTTTAAATGTCATGCAATTGACCAAAGCAGGTGAGCATCAGAGCATCATCTGGTGCGTATCCTTAAACAATCAGACTAGGAAGGAGCTTAGATCTTTCTATGGGAGGAAGACTATGGAAAGTCATGCAAAGAGTATTGGAATAGAGGCAGTGTCTTGGCAAAAGTGAAGAGAGGGAGGACTCTCAGCTTAATGCAAGGAACATCATAATCGGGCATCAAAAGGAGGGGCCTTCTCTCTGGGTGCCCCTTTTCTCTGGGCCATCTTTCCCTCGGGCACAGTAGCTTCCATGTCCCCTTTCCACAGAGCCATGAGGATGAGTGTTCTAACTGCATCCCTGGATCACACCATTACCTATTCTAAACCAAACTCCAGACACACGCATGCTGCCCCGAGTCAGCCCAACTCCCTCCTGTGACATAGTCTCACCTCATATCCCTCTGTCCTGCACTCCCTGGGTGCCAGCCACTTCTGTGCCCCTCCATGTTTAGGAGCATGTGGGCCTCTTCAAACTGCTGGCCCCCCAGGTCTGACCTGGAGTTAGAGGGGGGGGACTGGGGCTCTGTCTTCTCAACATGCTCCCCTTGGAGCCCTGCAGAGGAGTAGGGTACCAGTTTGGTCCTCCCTTTCTCTTGGCCTCTCCCTGCAATTCTTGCCTAGCTGCTCTCTTCCCTCATCAGCCTCACCAAGCCACCTGCTGCTCATCCACTAGTGTTGGCTGAAAGCACCACTTCCTCCAGGAAGCGCCCCAGCCATGGCTGAAGTTCGGCCATGTTGCTTCCTGTTCTCAGGCCATGCGCCTCCCTTGGGTGCTGGCTCAGCACCAGCTCAGTGAGAGAGGGCTGCCACTTCTAGCTGACCTTCCTTGAATTTCCTGGCTCCCAGATGCTAATGGGCTGAAAGATGCTTCAAAAACAGTTGCACAGGACCGGCATTGGGGCATGGCAGGTTAAGTCACCACCTGTGTCCCATATGACCACCAATTTAAGTCCTGGCTGTTTTACTTCTGATCCAATTCCTGGCTAATGGCTTCAGAAAGTAGCACAAGATGGCCCAAGTTCTTGCATCCCTGAACCCATAAGGAAGACCTGGATGAAGCTCTCGGCTCCTGGCTTTAGACTGGTCCAATTCCAACTATTGTAGCCATTTGGGGAGTGCACCAGTAGATGGAACATCTCTTTCTCCCTTTCTCTAACTCTGCCTTTCAAACAAATTAACTGATCTTTTAAAAAAGTTAAGGAGGGTGTACAATGAACAACTGAGTGAATCATTGGTAGATAGGTCAAGACCACCCAGCTCCATGTCCAGAGATTTGTACTGGTGAAAATTTCTCTAAAATCAAGGGATCCAGGGTAGCAAATAGCCACTGGGTCCAGGGGTTCCCGGCCCAGAGTGCTGTATCCCTCCGCTTTCATCTTCCCATCGTCCCTTGCACTTGGAAGGGTTGGGACCAGCCATTGTCCTCATGGGAAAGATGAGGATGGGAGATGTGGGCATGTGGGCATGTTGCAAACCATGGAAGACCTGTGCACACCATAAGCATCGTCATTTACCAATTGAATGCAGGTTCCTTTCTTATTGGAACTCTGGGTCACTGGGAATGCAGTGAGAAAGTTTGAGGTACTTGGGGTTCAGCAAGACTCAGAGGAGCCAGGTCGAAAGGTACCTGGGCAGAGAAAGCAGCAGCTCATGGGGAATTAACTGTGGTTGGGGGTCCCGGGGCATTAGGTGACCTTCCAAAGCTGCTGCCTCCTCTCAGACTCCACGAGCTCTCTGAAGACAGATTCTGGGTCTGAGTTGCTCTTTCCACAGCCTTCTTCTTGTGCTGGATGAGCAGGATTGGGTGTGATTGGGGGGGGGCGGCGGCGGGTGTTGGGACTGAGGAGGAAGGCAGGTAGGGGCTGTGTTCAAGAGGTGCTTCACCTCCCTGCAATTGCTCCTGGACCCAGCTCCTTTTTAAAAGCCTCAGTCCCGGACTCTAAATTGTTGGTTATGGGGCTTGTGCTGTGGCTTGCAGATAAATCCACAGCCTGCAGTACTGGCATACCATATGGGCACTAGTTCGAGTCCCACCTGTTCCACTTCCAATCCACCTCTCTGCTAATATACCTGGGAAAGCAGCGGAGGACAGCTCGAGTTTTGGGCCCCTGCCACTCACGTTGGAGACCCAGATGAAGCTTGTGGCTCCACCGTGGCCATTCTGGCCATCTGGGTAGTAAACCAACAGATGGAAGCTCTCTCTGTATTTCTAAATTTTAAATAAAGAGATATTTTAAGTGTTGGTTGCCTTCCAGAGGCTAAGCCTAGAGGCTGACTGGCTGGGGTGGGGGCACTGAAGATGAGGTTCCTGTGGCTGCAGTCGGAGTCCTGTGCTGGGGCCCAGACAGGAGGAAAGGAATGCTAGTGTCCAGCAGGACGAGAACAGGCAGGCCTGAACCCCTTGCTGTCACCCTCCCTGGGAATAGAGGCAGGAGAGCATGGAGGTGAGAAGACCCTACCTCCCTGTCCCAGCCCTTACCCTTGGCCCTCGCTGCACGTCTTCTTCACTAGCTGTTAATGATTATTTACAGGGAAGCACCTGGACAGTCCAGAGGCCCTCTACTGTGACAGTGTAATGGCTGATAATGACCTCCACCACTGTCACAGCTGGCCTGCTCTTGGGACAGAGCACAGGGTTGCCACCAGTCCACATTCTGTGTGAGGGAACCAGAGCTGCAGATGGGTGAGGTCACCGCTCCCCAGGTGCCTGCTGCTAAGTAGCTCGTGGGCTCCCAGGCCTGTGCCTGGCCTATCTTCACCACACCCATGTCTTGTCTGCTTCAAGCTGGTGGCTCTGTCAGCCATACTCTGTCACCTGCTCCCTATCTCAGCATGGCATCACCCTCTTCCCAGAAGCCTGCTTCAGGAACCCAGCAGAGTCCTCAGGGAGAAGGCTGGCCTGGGGTCCTCTAGGGAGCCCTGGAGCTAGGCCACATGGTGCCACTGCCCATGGAGCCCCTTGGCTTTTTTTCTTGGCCAAAGTCCCAGGTCAGTGGGGGCTCTGCTTGCTCCTCCACCACTCCATGGCTGAGCTGAGTGCAGCAGGTGCTCCATACACTTCTCATGGGCACTTCCCCTTAGCTGAACCCTCCTCCTCTGCCTGCTTTCCCCAACAACGGGGAGGATTCTGTCTTTATCATCAAGGTCCATGTCACCCTGGACAAAACGCTGTCCCAAGCTGGAGTCTAGCATCCACATCTGAGTGGGAGGGCGGGGAGTCTTGATTGGGCAATGGCTTATGGTGTGGTTCTGGGGCCAGCTGCCCAAAGTATCACCTTAGCAATGACTAGAAGCACAGGTGCTCAGGTCTCACCCAGAATCACCAACTCAGAAGCCCAGGTCGCGAGGCTGGCATCCCACGCTTTGGAAGCAGGTTCAAGCTGCAGGCCATGCCTTTCATCTTTCGGGTTTATCAGATGTTGGGATACTGAGCATGCCAGTAGGAGTCAAGCAGGATGTGGGGCTCAGGGCAGAGGGCCCTGTGTTAGCTTGCCCACCTGCAGAACACGTGGCTTGAGTCTGTCACCTAACTTCCTTGACTTCCATGTTCCCTCTGTGACAGGCTGCAGGGTGTCACATGTGTGTTCTACATGATGCACCCCGTCTGGTGGCTGCCCGAGTCACACTCATAGGATCTAAGTGGGGCCTCCACAGACTCCTTGCTGCAGTGCTGGGGGCTGCAAGTTCAGACACTCTGGCTTCCTTAGGCTTGGTGGAGGGCAAAGGGTTCCTTGGCAGGGATGGTTGGCACCCCAGGCTGAGGAAGGGCTGGCTGGGGGAGGCAGCATGGGGCTCTGCTCTAATATTGATCCCAGGCCATATATGCTTTGTCCCCACTGAGGAACCCTTAAGCCCCATTTCCTCCTACAGACGAAGGTGAGTTCTCGGCAGTCTCCATCCCACAGTGCCTCCCCTGGCCTGTGCTTTCTCTTTCTTCTTGGCCCAGCCCTGGCTGAGTCCCAGTAGGTACACTCACTGTTCAGGGCATCTTCCATCTGCTGTCGGCTGTTGGCTCCGTGGTACCAGCTGACTAACAGGCCATCCTTGCGGTTGATCTGGCCCAGGCTCAGCAGGTAGTCCAGCATGTCGCCATCGGGGCGGCAGACTGCATCATCCGTACAGTCTGGAAGGAAAGCCAAGGGGGCTTTTAACCTGAGTCCTTGCCCCTACCCACAATACCCTCCCTAGACTCGTATTGCGTCTCCAACACCTGATCCAGCAGAGAGGCTGTGAGACGCAGAGCCATCAGTGCTGCAAGACAGGGGAAGGCATGGGCTCCTGGGACAGCCAGAGAAGGGGACAGGTGACAGAGAAGGGGACAGGTGACAGAGAAGGGACATTGAAGGGATCCTTGAAGGATGGGGATGGATCTAATGGAAAAGGGAGAATAGTGTGCTGGAGCCACCAAAAAGAGTGTAGCTACCGGGGAAGTGTCTCCTGTTGGAAAGGGCAGGATCAAAAAGAAGGCTGCGGTCAGGTGGCACGTGACCGTGAATTCCCAAGGATCTGGGCATGTGCTGGGCAGCGAGGAGGATTCCTGATGAGATCTTGCTGACTGCACGGTGAGTGTGTTTCCTGGGAGAAGCAGGCCATGTGGCAGAGGGACTGTGGGCACAACGGGTCCCAGAGGGGCCTCAAGCCTCAGAGGGCAGAGCTATGAGAAGGAGGCTAGCAGGGTGAGGGTGAGAGGCACGGGAGGGGGTGAAGGGTGGAGGGAGAGAATGCAACTTTCCAGGTTCACCCAGAGAGAGTGAAGGAAGTGGATTCAGCCCTCTGCTGAGGTAGAGGGTTCCCCGTGAGCCCTGAAGACTCTGGAGGACCATCTAGACAGCAGGCAAAACTTTGGAGACCCCAGAAGCTGGTCAAAGGTGAGACAATCGGTGTGGCCTGCCGGGGTGAGGTCTGGCATGGCTGGGGATGAAGGGGATGGATAGAGCCTTGCCGGGTGGGGTGGAAGTACGAGGGAGAGAGGACAACCAGTAGGAGTGGGTTTAGAGTCTTAAAGTGGGAAGAAGGAAGGGGGAGCCAGGGAGGATGGCCCAAGAGGAGACTCCTACCTGGCCGGGTGCCACGCGACAGCGTCAAGCCCAGAACCAACCCAATGAGCACCACCACGGCGACGCTGCTCCCACCAAGCAGCGCCCACCATGTGGAACTGCTCAACTTGCAAATCTTGGAGGCCATGAGGACCCCTGAGGATGTCCCCTCTCAGCTCTCAGCAGCCCCTGGCCGCAGCTGGGATGGGGTCACAGATGCAGCCTGGTGAAAAGCCCCTTCTCGCAAATCCTCTCTTCCAGAAGCCCCTCCTCCAGAGGCTCCTCTTCCCTCCCTGTCCCTCTCCCTCTCCTCCAGGATCTTAACAGGTCAAGCAGAAAATCCTGTCACCTCCGGAATGACCTTTGAACATGGTAAGAGGAGGTGCCAGACTGAACTCCCGCCCTGCCTGGGAGCTGGGAGACCAGGGAACCAGTTTAGCCTGGCTTGCTTTCTGGGAGTTCTGGAGCAAGTATTTGCTCCTCTCTGGGCCACGTGGAACTCTCTCCCTCCCGCCCGCCATTCCCCCCCGGCCCCCCATCTTGCCACATGGGATAGGAAGCAACATGAGCTGCCTTTTCTCATCTCTGTCTCCAGGGCTTTCTGCCCTGCCCCATGTAATCCCTGGGCCAATGCAAGGGTTGGTGACAAAACAGATTAGATCGGCCTGAGGGATGCGAATTCCTCTGCCCTTCAAGATTGCGGCTGATAGGCTATCTGCCTGGGAGTGGAACTGACAGTCCCTGGCACACCAGCTTGGGTCACTGCAGGTTCAGCAGGTCCAGGATGGTGGGCTGAGTCACACATACTGGCAGAGTGGCTCTGGGAGGGGAGCCCTAGAGTACGAGTGGAGTCAAGAATCTTGAAGAAACAAACTTCTTGGAGGCGTGGAGGAAGAGGCATCAGTGGGATGTGGGTGGAAGGGCAGGATTGGGATGGGGAAGGATGGTCATTTTGGACCGAGGAGGCAGTACCACGTTGAAGGAGCCGCAGCCAGTTGCCTTGAGGGGCTGGGTGTGAGTGCAGGCCCCTGTGGGAGCAAGGCCTTGGCTCTGAGGCCCTGAGCTGTGCTTCCTCCCTGGCCGGCAGGGAGTCTTAGAGGAAAGCAGCTTCTGGAAGGAAGCCGGCCTTGCCTGCAAGGATGCCAAGCTCAGAGACACTGGTGCAAAAGAAGCAGCCAAGCAGCAGAGTAGCCATACAGCCCTTTGCCACATACAATGCTGGGCTCCGGAGATGCCCCCAAACCACCCCTAGTATTTTGCTGGGGAAGAGAATCCAGGGACTGTAAGAGGCCCAGTTAGGCCTGCAAAGTGGCAGTGGGTGTGAGCGGGACTCATGGGACTGGGCCAACAGGGCATTTAGCAGCACTTCTAGCCTCCTAGGGTGGGTAGGGGGCTTTCAGAGGAGGTCTAACCTGAGCTTTCTGGCAGAGAGCAGGGACTGATGGTGAGGCAGGGAGAAGGTAGATCCCAAGATGGCTTGAGTGTGGGAGGTTGGGGGAGGAGGTTGAGCAGGTCTGGGTCACACTGATCAAAGAGCCATCCCCTGAAGGGTAACTGGTTGGAAAGGGGATTCCGGGAGCTGGAGAAGGCCTGACTGCCTCTCCCACCTGGGTCAGCATGCTTTAGCCCTGCCCAAGCCTGCATTGCCACAAACCACAGGACTCATCCCACCATGGCGTCCAGTGCAACCAAAGGCCTGTGGAAGATTGAGGCTCAGTCTTGCTATTTTTGCTACTCCCCTGACTCTCATTCCCAAAACATACTAGAGGGGAGACGAAACTAAAGGGTGGTTAGATCTGTGGAGTGTTTAGATCTGGTAACACAGGAGGCCCTGAGTGTCCCCCTCCTATCCCAGGGAAGCCAACTGCAGGGCAGGGCAGTGCCACCTGAGTTCCCACAGTTGGGAACCACTCATGGTGATTCACATACTTTCTGGGGCCCGCTGGTCCCTGGGGAGAATCTGACACAAATCCTGCTTGTTAGAATCTTAGAATACTGCTGTTGGGTCAGTTCTAGGCTCAATTGGCTAATCCTCCACCCCAAGCATTAGCATCCTATATGGGTGCCAGTTGGTGTCCTGGCTGTTTCACCTCTCATCTAACTCCTTTCTTGTGTCCTGGAAAAGTAGTGGAGGATGGCCCAAACTCTTTTTTTTCCCCCAAGATTTATTTAGGGCCTGGTGTGGTGGCCTAGTGGCTTAAGTCCTCACCTTGAACACACAGGGATCCATATGGGCACTGGTTCTAATCCTGGCAGCTCCACTTCCCATCCAGCTCCCTGCTTGTGGCCTGGGAAGGCAGTCAAGGACACTCAAAGCCTTGGGATCCTGCACCCACGTGGGAGACCTGGAAGAGCTCCTGGCTCCTGGCTTCAGATCGGTGCAGCACCAGCCATGACGGTCACTTGGGGAGTGAATCAATGGATGGAAGATCTTTCTCTCTTTCTCTCCTTTTCTCTGTATACCTGATTTTGCAATAAAAATAAATAAATCTTTAAAAAGACAAAATAATCTAATTTGTGCACCAGGGTTTTAGTAGAGAGGAAGTTCTGGACGAGGCTAAGGCATTTTGGAGGCTTCCTGGAGGAGGTGGTGTTTGACCTATCCCTTTAAGCACGGGCAATGATTAAGCTACACACATCTCATGTCAGAGCATCTCTGTGTGAGTCCTGACTCTGCTCCAATTCCAGCTTTGTGTTAATGTGCACCCTGAGAGGGAGCAGAGAGCCTCTTAAATACCTGGCTGCCTTTCGCCCTCCTGGGAGACTTGGATGGAGCTCCTGGCTCCTGCCTTTGGGCTGGCCCAACACTAGTTATTGTGGGCATTTGAGGAGTGAGCCAGCAGTTAGGAGATCTTTGTATTCTGCCTATAAAATAAATAAAATATGGGCCTAGCACAAAAGCCTAATGGCTCAAGTCCTTGTCTTGCACCTGCCAGGATCCCATATGGGCGCCAGTTCATGTCCTGTCCCGACTGCTCCACTTCCCTTCTGGCTCCCTGCTTGTGGTCTGAGAAAGCAATGGAGGACGCCCAAAGCTTTGGGACCCTGCACCTGCATGAGAAACCCAGAAGAAGCTCCAGGCTCCTGGCTTCAGCTCAGCTCAGCTATGACCATTGTGGCCACTTGGGGAGTGAATCATCAAATGGAAGATCTTTGTCTCTCCTTCTCTCTGTATACCTGTCTTTCCAATAAAAATAAATAAATCTTTTTTTAAAAAAAAAATAATGTGTTTCTTATTTGTAAGAGGCAGAGAGAGTTTCTCTCTACTGGTTCACTCTGGGTCTCCCACCTGGGAGCCAGGCAGCTGAGTACCTGAGCCATCACCTACTGTCTCTTGGACTGTGCCTGAGGAGGGAGCTGGTGGCAGGACTGGAGCCCAGGCACCCTGACATAGAATGTGGGCATCTAGGCAAGATTTTAAGTGCTGTGCTAAATACCCACCCTTTATTCTTACATTTCTTTAGAAGATTTATTTATTTTTATTGCAAAATCAGGTATACAGAGAAAAGGAGAGAAGAGAGAAAGATCTTCCATCCATTGATTCACTCCCCAAGTGACCGTCACGGCTGGTGCTGCACCGATCTGAAGCCAGGAGCCAGGAGCTCTTCCAGGTCTCCCACGTGGGTGCAGGGTCCCGAGGCTTTGAGTGTCCTTGACTGCCTTCCCAGGCCACAAGCAGGGAGCTGGATGGGAAGTGGAGCTGCCAAGATTAGAACCAGTGCCCATATGGATCCCTGTGTGTTCAAGGTGAGGACTTAAGCCACTAGGCCACCACACCAGGCCCTAAATAAATCTTGGGAAAAAAAAAAAAAGAGTTTGGGCCATCCTCCACTACTTTTCCAGGACACAAGAAGGGAGCTAGGTGGGAAGCGGAGCTGCCGGGATTAGAACCGGTGCCCATATGGAATCCCTGTGTGTTCAAGGTGAGGACTTTAGCTGCTAGGCCACCACGCCAGGCCCTACTCTTACATTTTTAAGCCCTGATTTTTTTTAATTGAAAGGTAGAGAGAGAGATGTAGAGACAGAGCTCCCATTTGATGGTTTACTCTCCAAATACCTGGAAAATCAATCAGAAAAGTCAATCAGAAATCAATCAGTCAGAAAATCAACCCCTGACTGCTTGAGCCATCACTGCTATCTCCTGGCGTGCACTAGTAGGTGGCTGGAATTAGGAGAGCAGAGCACACCTGGGACTGGCATCCGGCGACTCCCTTACGGGTTGCGGGCTGGCCAGCAGGTGTATTAACTATTATTCCAAATGCCCAGCCTGCATTCCTAAATTCATAAGCCAGATGAGGTAATACCCAGCCCCTTTCACAAGGCCCTCTTGCTCTCTTCTGCTCCTGTTTTCACAAAAACAGACTCTGATTAGGCTGAGCCCACCCACCTGGGTGCTCTCATCCCCAAGTCAGCTAGAGAACCAACGTCCTGATTCCTCTTGGTGCCACAGGCCCCCAGGACTGGGCCTGTCTGGTTGCCATTGTTCTTTCTACCTAGCTGGGATTGCTTTCTGTCTTTTCCAAGCAGTTAGGGCTGTGCTGTATACAAAAGGGAGCAGGTGGAGGAGTAAAGTAGAGAGGGGAGATGCGATTGTTCAGTTGGCTAATCCTCTGCCTGCCATTGCCAGCATCTCACATGGACTGGTTTGTGTCCCAAGCTGCCCCACTTCCCATCCAACTTCCTACTTGTGGCCTGGGAAAGCAGTTGAGGATAGCCCAAAGCCTTGGGACCCTGTACTTGTGTGGGAGACCCGGACTCTTGACTCCTGGCTTCAGATCGGCTTGGCTTCAGATGTCGCAGCCACATGGAGAATGAGCCAGCAGACGGAAGATCTTTCTCTGTCTCTCCTTCTCTTTGTGTATCTTCCTTTCCAATAAGAAAATCATTATAAAAATTTTATTTATTTGAAAGCAAGGGAAAGAGAGAGGAGAGAGAGAAAGCTCTGCCACCTGCTATTTCACTCCCCAAATGCCTGCAACATCTGTAGCTGGGTGAAGCTGAAGCCAGCAGCTGGCAAGGACAAAACTACTTGAGCCACCACCTGCTGCCTTCCAAGGTGCAGGAAGCTGGACCTGGAACTTGGACCCAGGTGTTGTGCAATATGGGATGTGGCTCAGCTTGCTTGGTCACATGCTAATTCCTGATCGG